TCCATCCTGTCCTCTCTCAGAGTCACATGTCATTTCATGTCAGAGTCATGGCCCAATATTCATCTCTTATTATTTTACTAGTTATTGCATGTATCTGAAGGCAAAAAGTAATAAAAAATGGTAAAAAATAAACATATTTGTATTTATATCCAAAATCAAATTACAAATATAGAGAAGAGATAAAAGAACTTATGTGAAGCCCCTAAAACCGGGGGTCCTTATTAATCGTTGACCACCCGTCAACCCGCGAAAATACCTGTGATCGTCGCACAACCCGACGTCATGTCAATAATATCCCTCTTAACCGGAATTATAACCCACACGTGTAACCGGTGTACATTTTATCAATTAATCAAATCATGGTCCAATTTACCACATTTCATACTTTATTATAGTCCATTTATGTACAAGGAACCAAAAAACTCATAGCCCAAAAGTTTGGCAAAGAGATTTTCAAATTGTCAAAATTTTGAAAAGAGTACCGGTACTGTGAGCCTCCTGAAAAATCAATACCGGTACACACAGCCTTCTGGACAAGACTGTACCGATACTGTTAACCCACTAGACATCGTAGTACCGGTACTCTTTGCCCAAATTTTGCCTATTTCACCTGCTTTTCATTTCCAACTCATTTCTAAGCACATTATTCCCGTCCAACACATGTATAATGAAGTTTTTCATGTAATACATGGTCTATATAAGTTCTATTACATTCAATTCAATATTTTTACATACCAAAATAGAAATTTCATAATTGTTTTACAAAACTCAAAATAAAGCCACATTCCGACTTTCTTCACCCTTGGGGTCCCATGTGAGGGCCTTCCACCGATGTATGTCCCGCACCTGAAATATTTTTCCGTATAGGGTGAGCAACGCCCAGTAGAGTATTTCCTACCGAGACTATTCCCCAACCTAAGTGCATATGAATGTTCATGCAACACTTTACCACTAACAACATCCTAACCAAGAATATATTATTCAATGTTGAAATCTTAGCAAATCATGTCATGAAATGAGATGAGACTCACTCATGCAACTCAACCCGAGCCCTCCCTGGCTCCTTTTCCCCCATGTATGTCATGAGTACAAAAATCAGCTTTCCAAGCCCCGTCATTGGTGCTACACACCCAATGACTAATTAAAATTCTCCAGATCTTTCTTAGGGTGAGTATTTATGGACTTACACCAACGGCACCCAACTGACACGGAATTTACAGACTTCCATCAATGGTTCCAAGTAGACCGACACACTTTATGGACTTTTATACCAACGGAGTGCATCTCCAAACACTGGGTCTCTCACCCGAGGGATAGTCTAGCCCTTCTTGCTAACCCTGACCTAATTCTTTATTCATAACACCGTGCGACTCAGTCGGATTTTTCGATCCAAATATCCCGAGCCCACCATCATCCACATATTTGGTGTCTGATATCAACCATGCACACACACACCCACACTTAGGGATGGCAGTGGACCGGCCAAATCTGCCCCGTTTGGATCGGAGATGGACTATACATATTAGACGGTGGACGTATATGGGGATACCCGTATAAACCCGTACTGGAATGGACTTATCCTTACCCCNGCCAAATCTGCCCCGTTTGGATCGGAGATGGACTATACATATTAGACGGTGGACGTATATGGGGATACCCGTATAAACCCGTACTGGAATGGACTTATCCTTACCCCCGCCCCGCCCCCTCTACCCGTTAAATATATATATATATAAATACTATCAAATCCTAACTAAACATATTTACTGTAACTACCAATCTAGAAATATGATAATCAAACTNTTCCCCCATGTATGTCGTGAGTACAAAAATTGGCTTTTCTTGCCCCGCCATTGGTGCAACACACCCAATGACTAATTTAAAATTCTCCGGGGTCTTTCTTAGGGTAGATATTTATGGACTTACACTAACGGCACTCAACCGACACGGAATTTATGGACTTCCACCAACAGTTTCACATACACCGATACATTTTAAGGACTCTTATACCAACGGAGTGCATCTCCAATCATTGGGTCTCTCACCTGAGATATAGTCTAGCCTTTGTTGCTAACCTTGACCCAATTTCTTTTCCCATAACACCATGCGACTCAGTCGGATCTTCGATCCAACTATCCCGAGCCCACTATCATCCTCCTATTTGGTGTTTGATTTTAACCAAGCACGCACACACCCACACTCATGGCTATGGATGTGTTTCTCCCGTACAAATACAATGTAATGCACCATTGTTTAATCAATGTCATGCTCATATGTAAGGAATGTCTCA